TATATATATATATATATAGGAAAGATTCATTTATTTTAAGAGTAAATCTACCTAAACTTACTTCGTTTAATAACTTATGTTCTACATCAAATTTCAATTATCTAACCGTTGAATTTAAAGTTCTTAATGCATAGATTAAGTTTGCAAATTTTTATAAAATTTGAAAATCATTTGATACTTCGTTTAATTGATTCAAATTGACGGATAATCATAAAAGCACTTTATACATTGATTTGAATTAATAAAATAAAGTATCAAATAATTTTAAAAAAAATTAAAAATTTATAAACTTGATCTATGCAATAAGAACTTTAAATTCAATGGTTGAATCGTTGAAATTTGATGTAAAACATAAATTATTGAACGGAGTAAGTCCAAGTAGACTTACTCCTAAAATAAATGAATCATTCCTCAAACACACACACACACATATAAATATATGTGTATATATAAGATCCATATACTATACAAGTATACATATAGTACGTGTGTTTTCTCATCAGTTAATTAAAACAAAACAAACTAAAAAATACAAAAAATTAAATTTGTATATAAATTAAGTCTCTCAGAGTCAAAAAAAAAAAAAACTGAATAAAAAAATTAAGTCTTTCACATTATTAATTTTATCTAACAATTATTAGAAATGTAATCGAGACGTGATTAACGTTAATTTAATTTGTACATATTTGAAGAAGAAAAATACAATATATATATATATATATATATTCAACAATTGTCTCATATACTCTATTCTCAACATTGCACTTAGACACTAGTTAGGCTTAACTTGCCTAGACTTTTACACTGTTAAGTTAGACTTAGACTTCCATTCACATAATCATCACATGTTTAGCATTATCAGTATTAGTCATACACTAGATTTTCACGCCAACGTATATTCATTTATTAATCATTTTCTTCATTCATTATACATTAAACAATTATCATACAACAGATGCATAGGAATAGAGTGACGCTAGGTGAGGAACACCTTACACTCAACACAATCCAAACAAAGAACACATTTTCCTCACTAGACCTAGTGCAACCCTCTTATGTCTGGTGAATTTACAATAGGGAGCCCTTGAACCTCCCATGCCCAACATGATCTCTCTCATGTCTAACATCAACACCATAGAGAAAACTTAGTGGCTCTCCCACTCAACATGAACCTTCTCATGCCCAACATGAATGTCATAGAGAGCAACCCATGCTTTGTGTCATGCTTGCATCCAATGGCCACATATGGCACTCAGCACTACATTAGTTTAGAAGCTTTTGTAGAATTTGCAATTTCACTCAAAACAATTAACATACAAATCAACAAATTCCAATCAATAAAACTCCTTAACATGCACGAGTACACAATGATAAACCAAATAAAGAACAAACTTTCCTGGTTGGAATAGTTGTGCCAGCATAACCCTCTTGTAATAGAAAGCCCTTAGAGCCCCATGCTAAATGTGATCTCTCTCACACATGGCGTCAATACCATAGAGAACACTTTGTGGCTTTCACGCCCAATGTGACCCTTCTCACGCCTAACATGAATGTCATAAAGAGCAACCCATGCTCTCTATCATGCTTGTGCTTGGTGATCACATATGGCGCTCAATGTCGTGTCAGTTTAGATGCTTTTATAGAATTTGTGCATTTCACTCAAAATAATTAATATCCAAATCAACAAAATCCAATCAATAAAACTCCATAACACGCACGATTACACAATGATAAAACCAAACAAAGAACACACTTTCCTTACTTGAAAGGTCGGGCCCAGCAAAACCCTCCTACACCCAAGGAATTTACAATAGGGAGCCCTGGAGCTCCCACACTCGAAGTGATTTGTCACACACCCAACATTTACACCATAAAGAACACTTTATGGCTCTCACATCCAATGTGAACTTTCTCATGCACGACATGAACATCATAAAGAGTAACACATCCTCTTTGTTATGCTTGCAACCGATGACCACATATGTCATGTCAATTCAAATGCTTTTGCAAAAATTTGCAATTTTTCTCAAAACAATAAACATCCAAATCAACAAACTGTAATCAATAAAACTCCACAATACACAAGATTACACATTGACAAACCAAACAAAGAACATATTTTCCTCACTAGAAAGGTCACGTCCAACACAACCATCCTGCACCTGACAAATTTACAATAGGGAGCCCTTAGAGCTCCCACGCTCGACATGATCTCTCTCATGCCCGACGTCAACACCGTAGAGACCACTCTATGGCTCTCATGCCCAACATGAATTTTCTCACACCCAACATGAACATCACATAGAGTAACCCATGCTTTCTGTTACACCACATATGGTGCATCAATTTAAATGCTTCTACAGAATTTGGGATTTCGCTCAAAACAATTAACATGTGTAACAACTCGATTTTCACAGATTGTACGAGGGCCCAAAGCCTAATAGGGGTGATTTAGTAGCCTAGAATAGGCCGTTCCAAACTACTAAAACAAGGGTGATTTATATCTCAGAATGGGTCGTTCCCAGATTGGAACGAGCCGTTCCAAAATAATAAAAGTGCCTACAAATCTTAGTTGGGAACGAGCCGTTCTAGTTTAAGAACGGGTCATTCCAAATATGGTTGTTGTGGGTTAAATGCAACCCCAGAACGGACTGTTCTGGTTTGAGAACGGGTCGTTCTGGATGTGAAATTTTACGCATGACGAAGAGTCCAGAACGAGCCGTTTCGAATTTGAAACGGGCCGTTCTGGCCACTCTTGATGCCTATAAATAGAGCGGTCTAACACTCCCCAAAATCACACCTTTTAGTTTTGACTTCTTTCAGTTCTGACTTCTTTCTTCTACATTCTCTTCTTTTCCTTTTACACTCTCTAAAGACCGAGGGTCACTTAGAAGAGGAGACCAAGGAGATCTCTGTTTTAATTTCAGCTACTACTTATCGAGGTACATAGGAAAATAGGATTATTTGTATGCAGAGTTACATGAGGGAATTGGGTAGAGGAAGAGTCCCT